TTGTGTTTGAGCAGAATGTGCTTGAAACCCAATTAGGAGTCCCTTAGCCAGTGCATGGAGGGCAGCCTGGCCCTGGGATGCCATTCATGGATGTTAAGATGCCAGGGTGGCATGGTTATGAGTCATACCCCCAACTCCCAAGTAGTCCGGTGGCCGGAGGGCCCACCCCAGAACTCATCCTGTAAACTTTTCTAATCTGCAGTTGTGTCTGGCTCCCAATCAGGGCTTCTTTCAAGAGCAAGGATGTCACTCTGAGGACTGATGTGCACCTGACCCATGCCAAGATATTTTTAATCATCTCATAAGTAGGGAGAAATTGGATAAGGACTACGGGAGACCAAAGAATTGGTATATTTAAATTATGGTGCTGGTGAAGACTATTGCCAAGTACTTGGATTGCCAGACAAACAAGCAAATCTGTCTTTGAAGTATAGGCAGAAGGATCCTTAGAAGTGAGGATGCAAGACCTGCTCTCTCATACACTGGACATGTTCTCTGGAGAGACTAGTCTCTGGAAAAGGGCATTAGGTTCAGTAGGGGGTCAGCAAAACAGAGGAAGACCCTCAATGAGACGGACTGACACAGGAGCAGCAACCATGGGCTCCAACAGAACCATTGCGAGCATGGGGCAGGACCAGGCAGTGTTTCATTCTCTTGTACATACGGGGGCTGCGAACCAGGACCGAACAGCTACAGCATAAAATACACCGGAGTTGGAGGTCTTTTCTTCCCCTATAACTGAGGCGTGGGGCAAATGGTCTCAGAGCTTTTAGTAGGAATCAATCCTACCGGTATCTGGAATGCAACTTGGAGCATCCAGCCCTGTGAGACAATACCTCTCTGTTCATACAAACCAGCCTGTTCTTGGTACAGTCACAGCAGCCTCAGGAAAGGAACACTGGCTGTTTCCTTGGGCGATGCCTCTTCTAATTCTTGGAAGGGTGCTGGGAGAGCCAATGCAGTTCTGATGAAGACAGCACAGGCCTACAAAGAGTTTTCCCAGAGGGCTGGAGTGAAGAGGGAAATGAAAGTCCTTCTGTGAAAATGTGTGTGTGTGTGAGATCCCTCGGCACTTCAAGGGTTCAGTCTGTTTGAAAGAAGAGGCCCCAAAATAACTCTTCCTCAATTAGCCAGAGTGGGTAGCTCTTTATGGCATTTTTATTTGAATAATTAAATTGTGCTCCCTGCCCTCCAACCAATGCGTGACTTTTCTAGGAGATCATTACTATTTCAGGAAAATGGTCCCTAAAACAGGTCATTATTTTATTATTGATAACTGTTACTGCCACTGGGCAGGTGAGACAAATATAAGGCATTAAAATAACAACAATAAACCAGTTGCATGGTTTTTCTGATAAGCAATGTGAAAGAATGATAGGAAAATGGCTACAAGGGTGATAGGAGTAAAAAGAAATGGACCTGCAGATTCAGGATATTAAGGCCTTTTAAAAATATGTCAGTTCAGTTTGAGATAGGTGACTTGTCAAATGGTTCTTGATTTTTCAAGTATTTTTAATAACTCAAATGTTTACAATCATTCTTAAATGGAATATACAACAATATCTGCAAAGACACTATTTTTTTGGGGGGGTGGGGATAGGTGCGAGATAGGGGAGAGATTCCATCAATAGCCACTACATGCATTCCCGGCCCGCTGTGAGTATGTGTTTATGGAAAGGATGAGCCTACAATTTGGAGACCTCACCAAGGCAGCGTCTACTGAGCACGGTTACCCCACCAGCAGGAAATCTATGGAGTACAGGTCGTTATCAGTTCCTTTAGGTTAGAGGTAACAGAGGAGGAAAGCAAGCTACCCGCCTAAGGGAGACAAAACCCAAGCAGTTCCCCACTCAAGGGATGTCTGGATTACCCCTGTGAACAGTGTCTACATTCTTGGTGCGCTCCCCTTAGGCACAGGGAATAGTTTCACTCTCGCAGATGCTGACACAGCAAACGCACAATTCTCAATCACTCTCCAAGGGCTCAGCTTTCATGAAGGCCTGGCTACTTTGCCCCAGCCCCTTGGATGACAGCATAATTTCCGCTTCTGTCCATACCCAGAGATGCTATGGGGCAAAAAAGGGGAAGGGAAAGTTAAAAGTCAGCGTGGAGGAGCAATGGCGGCAGGGGTTGGGAGGGAGAAGGGAAGGGAGGCTTACTCACAGCACCTGATGAGGGGGCTGTGGGAGGGGGTAGACATGGTTTTATTTAAAATACACTGAATTTTTAGAACATCTGCTATGTTAGACAGGGTTCTCTAGAGAAACAAAACTAGACACTAATAATTATATATATATAGATATAAGAAAAAAACAATTTATAAAGCAGTACAAATGGCTCAGTGCAACTCACTCCTGTGAAACAGTTGTGAGGCACTGGCAGTGCTTCGAGTCTTGAGGGCTGCTGGGTAGTGCTCTGTAGAGCAATTCGAGCTATCCAGGCACAGGCAGCAAACAGCAAGTCAGGTCACCAACAGTCAGCCAGATGACAGGGTCTGAGAGTCCCCAGCTCAAAAGATGTACATTGCAGTAGCGTGGTGAAGCAGGTCTTGAAGGAACCTCAAGTTACAGCGACACAGTCCACGGGTTAGGTGTCCCACAGGTAGTGTAGCCTGTAAATTGAGGTACAGAACCAGCAAGGCAGCTGCACACTGGTCTGATGATCAAAGAGCCAGAGACAAGGAAGGTGAGGCTCACCGAGCCATTTATCTCTCTGCCCTTCAATTAATCCCACATGTATTTATTGGCTATGTTGGCACAATAAACTAATTGTGCCAACAATTATATATATATATCCATATAATTATGGATAAAATTATATGCTACAGCAAACTACAACCCCCTCCCTCCCCCAAATAAACAAAAACCAATTTGGTATTAATAAATTATTTTAGTCGTGTGTGGAAATGAAGACCACCTGCATTCCATTATTTCTGTTTCCGGGTCCTGGTCGAAGATGCTGTTGATTTGAGCATAGTAAGCCATGGATTAATTTTAACCAAGTCCTGTGTCATCCATGGCTGAGAAGATGCTCCATTGGGCTTGGAATCCCTATTGAATGGGCCTTGGCATTGCTGTGAAACAGGACGGGTAGGGGCCTTGGTTTCCTGGCTCTCACGAGTTGTTGGTGGCTGACTACGTGCAGGGTCATTCTGCCTACAGCTTGCTAGTCGAAAATATTTGGGGGTTTCCTTCTCTGACAGGTTTCTGGCTTGTGTGGGTTCTGCTGTCTTTATCGATGGAAGAGAAACCTCCATTTAATGACTTGACAGAACACTCCATGGACATGTATGTGCGGCGGACAGTCTGAGATGGTAGCTGTCATGTGTTTCTGTTTGCTCTTGCCTGCGGACCAGCTGTGTGGATTCTGACTCATGGTGACCACTGCATGCATGTCGCGTACCACTCTGTTCCCTGTGCTGGTTCTGGGAGAGGACTTTCTTCCCAGAGGCCTTTGGGTGGGTTTGAACCTTCAACCTGCTGCTTAGCAGCTGAGCATTTGTACCACCCCCAGATACTTTTCCTTCCTTTAGACTATAGTACGTGACTTTGGTGCAAAGCTTTACTACTTAAGACTGATGCCGGCTGCATAAAAGGAATAAAGTGAGTCTTGCAGCCAATAAACCAGGACGGTTGCGCTGCCTGAACGTGCAGTGTCTGCCGTGCTGCCCAGGCAGCAGTGGAGGTGTTTCACATTCTCATTTTGTGCCCTCTCATACCAGGCATTTGTTTCCCTCTGATGTAGTCAGGGGACGTGCTTGGTATTTGCATTACCATAAATTATTAGAAGGACACATTTTTCCGGCATATTTTCTGATTCCTCTTATTAATGAAAATCAACTCTGGCAGACATTATTCCGGTCTGAGTGACCATCTACGAAGGAGCCTACAACACTATTGAACCCAGGGTATGAGTCAGTTCCTGCAGTCATCCAGGTCTTTTTAATGCATCAGTATAAAATAGTTTCCTTTTCCAGGCTTTTACTTCTAACGTTGGCTCCCCCTTGATAAGGCTGCCAAAGGAGCTTGAAGAGACCCTGAGACTGTTAGGCTGAGATTCCTACGGCGATGACTCAGACCAAGCCCCTGCCATCACATCGATGGCAGTATCATAGCAGCCTTCTAGAACAGGTTTCTGAGACTTTACATCTTTGTTTTAAATCATTTTATAGGGGTCTCATACAGCTCTTATCACAATCCACACACACATCCATTGTATCAAGCACATTTGTACATTTGTTGTCCTCATTCTCAAAACATTTTCTTTCTACTTGAGCCCTGGGTATCAGCTTCTCATTTTTCCCCCTCCCTCATGAACCCTTGATAATTTAAAAATTATTATTTTTGTCATGTCTTACACGGTCCGACGTCTCCCTTCACCCACTTTGCTGTTGTCCGTCCCCCAGAGAGGGGGTTATATGTAGATCCTTGTAATCGGTTCCCCCTTTCTATCCCATCCTCCCTCCACCCTCCTGGTATTGCCACTCTCACCACTGGTCCTAAAGGGTTCATTTGTCCTGGATTCCCCATGTTTCCAGTTCCTATCTGTACCAGTGTACATCCTCTGGTCTAGCCGGATTTGTAAGGTGGAATTTGGAGAGACTTTACATCTTTATAGGAGTAGACAGCCTCATCTTTCTCCCATGGAGCAACTGGTGGTTTTGAACTGCTGACATCGAGATTAGCAGCCCAGCACATAACCACTCCACCACCAAACCAGCCTCAGATTAATTTTTTCTCTTCTCCTGTGTGTTTGGTGATGCTTCTCTTAGGTCAATTTGCTTCTTCTTTTTTTTTTAGATGTGTTATGTTGTACATATTGTTATTCTGTACAATATGTTTTTTTAAAATACTTTTATTCAGGGAGGTCAATTTGCTTTTAAAAGTAGCTGGGAGGAGGCACATCTACTTTGATGCAGTTGCCTCTTTTACAAAAGTCTCCCTGAGAGCAGGCGATCCCAGGTGTGTGGGAAGCATTTCTTCTCTGCCGACACCCGAGGCTTCATTTCGTGAGGGCTATGGTTTTATTCGCCCCAGCAAGACTTTGGGGTACGAACAGAGGACAGAGGGTTTCCAAGGACGCTGTGTTTCGGTCCCTAGGTGTCCTGATCCTTAGGACTGATATCTGTCACTCAGTTCCTGTTCCCCGCGGCTGAGCTTGTCTTAGAATAAAAACGGCAGGAATGCCTTCCTGTGCTTTGGATAGGAGACAAATGTGCTCTTGTAGTATCTGTGGTTGAGGAGAGCATTGAGCGCTTGGCTGAAGAGGACGTACGCTACCACCAGCCACCAGGTCACGTTGCGGAAGCCGAAGGTGACGGCCAAGGAAAGGTAGATCATCAGTTCCGCCAAATGGTGTGGGGAGGAAACGTACTCGAACCAGTCTCCGGAAGGAATTCTGTGGTTACTGTGAATGACCACCCCTGAGAGGGAGAAAGCAACTTTGTGAGTGTGACTTCGAAGAGATAAGTTTTACCACCACATTTCACAGTCATTTGGTGAAAAACCCTTATTTAGAAAACCCACCATCTGGTCTTCCTACTGAAAAGGTGCCCTGGTTGGCATAGTGGTTTACATGTTGGGCTGCTCACTACAAGGTCAGCGGTTCGAAACCACCAGCTGCTCTGTGGGAGAGATGACGCTTGCTAGTGTGAAGAGTAACCGTCTTGGAAATCCACAGGGCGG